TTCTCTCCCAATCCACACTCTTCTGTTTTATATATTACCAGAATGTCTCAAAACTTCTGATTTTTTTTTTAATAGGCTACAGATAATCCTCAGCCCAAAATTCAAGAGATAGCTAATTTTATTATTATTAAACAAAACTAGTAGATATAACTTTCAAGAAATAAGTTACATAAATATAACAGAATAAATTCACTTTCTTAACAGTTTCAAATTAAAGATGATTAAGAAGTACAGCTTTATGTAAAGTTTCTGCCTCTTCCCAATCAGGCCTAAAGAGGAAAGAATTGGAGCAGGAACAATTGGCTCCTAGCAAGCAAATACAACATAACCGTAATTAGAAGATCTTCAAGCTATCAAAATTTGTGAGAGAAGGATGGTAGGGATGCAGTAGAAATTACCAATGACAATCAAACAAAATCCTATCTGGGTTTTCAGGTTAGTCAAAAGTAACTTTGTGGAAACAGCCTGTGATCAGCATGTCTCATAGCTTGTATGCCCTCTACACCTTCAGAGTTGCATAATAAACTTTTAACAATAAAACAACAACAAAGAATATCAGGTTGTAAATATTTGTATTTCTCTCACATACACTGTTGTATGAGATATTTATTTTAATATGTAGCCATAGGATTAATACTCATATGGAGTATAATGTGGAAAACTGCAGAACTAAAGAAATAAGTCTATCAGAAAACAAAAGCACACATTTCTTAGTATTTAAAAATATTGCACATAATAAGGTTGCACAGAAATTACTGGCTGGTTTTACAAACAGAATGAGGTATTATTCAATCTCTAGATAAAGATGAGTAGAGAGAAGAGACACTACACACACAAATAAATTCATATTAAGACCTAGAGTGCCAACAAGTAAGAAAGAAATGTGAAAAGATATGTTAAGTAGCTATGATTTCAACACTACAAAATCATTTTTAGCCTGGGACCAAACACATGACAATCTCTTGGCAATATTTTGTAAGTTTTCAACACTTTTCCAGCCTAAATGACTATGGGCAATAAAACCATTTCCTTTACCCCAGTTCTACTGTAGAAAGACACAGTGCTGTGGTAAATATCAAACCATCTCTTTCCCAACCTTTCAGTAGCAATTAACCAAGATACTGTTCTCCTTTGCTAAATGACTCAATTATAGTTATATGAACATTTTGCAACCCAAGTCACAGATGTTAACGAACATGCAATTTTGAATTAGTAAACGTTTCACTGCAAAAATCATTAGGTTCACACAATTTAAATCTACAATAACTTTTAAAGTTTAATCAGGTAAACTCAATCTTTTCTTGGTAATAAAACTGGTGACATTAATGAGCCCAAGGGCACGTAGAGAAAAAGGGCTAGGCAAAAATTACATGTTTCTTAAAGAAACTTTCCTAATCAGGGAAATTAGCATTTCTCTACTAGTTGAATGTTGCTGAATTTGTCAAATTGAAAAAAAAAAAAAAAAAAAAAAAAAAAAACTTTAAATATATTTAATAGCTATATCAAATTGTTTAAAGTGAAATCATGCACTTGTCAAAATAGTTCACAGAAAATCGTTTAGCATCAAAGATAATGAGGACAAGTCAACTAGTTGGATTTACTGAGAACAGAAAAAGAACAAACTACTGTCCTGAACAGTCAGTGTACGTGGTAACCATATTTCCTCTTCGTTGAGTGACAGTCCTGCAGTGCTTGCTAGATCCATGAAATCTATTTTCAGTCTGTACTGTATGCCGACTGGTAGGGTCAAAACCACTAAAAGAAAACATTTTCTCCATATCTTCAAACATGTCATCAAATAATCCACCTCCAAAAGAAAACTCTTGGAAATGATGCCTTTGTCTACCGGAACCATCCTGGCGTGTCTGGAAATGATTTTCAAAATGCTTCTTGGATCGAGGGTTTTGATTTTGACCAAAAAAGCTAAAGTCTTTAAATAAGTCATCAAAATTGAAGTTAAATGACTGCTCAAAAGAGCTTCCACTACCTCTTTGTCCTTTACCATTAGTAAAAGCACTGTGTCCAAGTGTATCATACTCTTTTCGTCGATTAGCATCTGAGAGTGTTTCGTATGCTGAAAGAGATAAAAATATTTTTAGTTCCTGAAGGTACAATATTCAAAATTGAATATATTCAAATCTCTTCAAGTAAGTTAATTGAACACTATTGTTTTAGGGAAGAATTTCACATCAGAAATAAAAAAAAACATTACAAACATAAGCATCAAGTTAAAACTATAAAACAGGGCAGAAACTGTCTTATTAACTGCTGTTTTATCAGCAGTTGGCACAATGCCATCTACAATAAAGTCATTAAATGAATGCTACCATTACTACAAATAAACATGTGGGCAACAATTATAGGGTTCTTTAATCTTCATATTATTGGTGTGAAATAATTACTTGTATTAAAAAATTAGTCAACTATAAACAATGAATAGGAATTAAGATTTTTCACCTCCTTTCTAGTTAAAGTAAATGTTTAATTCTAACTCCCTACTCAGTTACCTCCACCCAACAATAATTACTGAATGCTCAGGAGGTGCAATTTGTTTTAGAAACTAGTCTGAAGTCAAAATTTGTTTTAATGTTTTCTTTAAAGACAAATATGGCTTTGAAACAGATCAAGTGAAGAACAAAGCACTTTAGAGTCTAGCTTAATTTTTAAGTATTTAATGTTTAAAATAGTAAAATATTCTGTTTCATAAGTTAGTTGATAAGAATTCTGGGTTTCTAAAATCGCTTTTGCCATAGAAACAACAGTTATTTTATAAATAATATAGAATACATTTTCAATATGTTTAGTTCTATATACCAATAAAATTATCTATTATTTTTTCACCTATTTATTCACGAATCAAAGCATCTGTGATAAGAAAATAATCTCAGAGAATCATGTAATATTTATACAAAAATCACACTCTACCACCTCCACAAAACCTTCAAATACAATCACTTCTTAGCTATCATTCTTCTTACTAGTTAATACTCCTGAGACTTCAGAGATTGTCATTTACTTACCTTCTGCAATCTCTCTGAATTTTGCTTCAGCATCAGGGCTCTTATTTTTGTCAGGGTGGTACTTCATGGCTAACTTGTGAAAGGCCTTCTTGATTTGGCGCTCTGATGCCGATTTTGGCACACCTAAGATATCATAGTAGCTTTTTGAGGCCAGAATTAGTTCCGTTATCATTAAAATGCAGATTGCAAAAATGAAAACTGACTGGGGAGTAGCCATTTCTAATATCCTAAAACATAAAAGAAAAAAAAATGTTACGGATGGGGCTAATCTTAAAAATTTTTTCTTTTAAAAGAAATCCAATACAAGGTAAACCTAATGCAGTATCAAAATGTTAAGCATGCAATATCTTGTACCTGTTCACGTGTTATTTCACTTATAGATTTTTTTCATGTGTTACTTCACTTATAGATTTTTTAACTCCCAAATTGGCTTAACCTTATTGAGAACAAAAAGAATTATTGGCTTTGTCTGTCCACTAATACTCTGGCCATACACAGAGGAGGTAGAAAATTTAAAATAACTGATTTTTAACTAGTTCACATGGAAGATTCATCATATCAAGCATTGTAAGAAAGAAAAAAAAACCAATTAATATAAGATCCAAACCTTCCTTTAAAGAATTCATATCCTGAGATCAATAATGTGTTTAACCTCAGAGAAAAAAAAAAAAAAAAACACATTAAAAAAAAAAAGGTGGAGCACCAAGGTAAATAGTCCAGTATATCTAAATTAGCACTAATCTCTCTCTAAAAATTCAGCTTTCATTTCAGCAGGTGAGCCAAGGACTGCAAATAGAGTTAATAACACAATACTAATACTGATAATACAACAGAATATTGTCTTTTTCCCAAATGTTAACATCCCAAATGTTTAACCAGGAAGCACGGCCAAATATTGTTTAAAACTCATGATGAACAGAATTTGAGATTTCTGCTAAAGCTGCCAGAAAAATGAACTTTGATAGTCTGCACTGTGGTTAAGGCAGATTCTTACTTTCAAGTTTCTCAGTAGTTAAAATATTTCTCTTACCTATAAACCATTCAAAAAATGTTAACTTGGAATTCTTGACAACATGTATTTAATGACTTAAGATTCAAAACCAAGGGATTCTGTTTTTTGAATACGGAACCACCAGACTCCTTAGTAACCTATGATGCCATAACAAAGCTGACGAAAAACACTACGGTTTGTGGAAATTGCCTGGCTTCCTCTCCAGTGGCCTTTCCTGAGAGTAATTAGCAGGCAGGAGGATTGCTTATTTTCAGAGAGTTACTCGTAGTCACGGGTACCAAGGATCAAGAACCACCTCTTGGTTTAAGTAACACAGTGTGTCCCATGGACGCTGCGTCGACTGCAGGTTGCTCCCCAGTCAAAGGGAGGATCTAAAACTGACAGGAAGGCGCCTCACTGGTTCCGTAGATGTTATTCCACGGTCTCAGAGTGGACATCTGATGATTTTTTTAAGCAGTCTAGCTTTTGTACTGTACAGACTTCTCATCTCCAAGACGGACCCGCCAGCCAACAGCCTGTGCCTTATTCCCCAGCCTCGGTGGCTAGCTAGGCTGGACCGTCCAACCTTCACCTAAAGGCGACTAGCACCCTCCCTGCCCGCCCAGGCCCCGCCATAGAGGCTGCCCGCGGCCAGAGCTCCAGTCCGGCGCCCGTGAAAGCCAGCGGCACAACTCAAAACACGATTCTGTGATGCCACTCTCTCCGTTCTCCCATTCTCCCGGCCAAAAACCATGCAGCCCGTTTGTCCCTGCGGCGACCGTGGCGGACGCCGAGGCCAGGTCAGCTCACAAAGACAGGCCTGGGTTCGGGGGACGCTCCGAACTCACCTCCCCACGACCCCGGCCTGGTTCCTCACCTGCACCCTCAGGCTACTGCTGCTCCTCCACAGAGCTGAGGCGTTGGCGACCCTGACGATTGGCTCGGGTCGGCTGGCTAGAGCCCTGATCTCGGTCGTACACCGACCTAGCGCTCCTTCTTCGCCGCCGGCGCCCAGTCTCCTCTCAGCCAGCTCCTCACTGGCCGAAGGCGGCCGCTGGCGCCACCATCTCAGACGACCAACACGAAACGCTTCCCCATTGGCTAACGCCTGCCCACGTGACCCCGGCGCTCTACGCGCACGTGGAAAACTGTTATTGCCGCTAGGTCGGGACGCCACTTCCGGCTCCAACCCCGAAAAGGTGGTGCTTAAACCCGCGGAGGCGGAAGTGAGTCGACAAACTAGGCGGCTTTCCCGGCTAATGCCAGCGCAGGCGCATTGGCTCGAGAGGCCTGGACCTGCGGCGCAGCCTCAGTGAGGAGGGAAGCCCTGTACCTGTCGCTTGCCTGGGTCTCCCCGGGCTTCACCCGAGTGATGCCCCGCTATTGCGCAGCGATTTGTTGTAAGAACCGCCGGGGACGAAACAATAAAGACCGGAAGCTGAGTTTTTACCCGTAAGTTGTCTCTGAAGCAGAAGCGTCAGCCTCACTGTGGTGTCGCGGTCCTGTGGCCTTTGGGCTTGGGTATCTCCTGTCCGCTCTGCATATGAGTCCTCAGCTTTCCGTAGGTGTCCCGTCGCCCGCTGGAAGACGGTGGAAAGGCCGTCAGTTTACCTAGCAATGCCCTTCCTGCCCGAGGACTGCGGGCTGGTGGCGAGACCCAGGGTCCTGTTTGGGTTTTAGTAGAACAGTTAAAACTGTCAAGTTTGCGCGGACTTCTGTGGTTTTCACAGTCTTTTCCCCGCCTCACGTGATCTCATTTCATTGAACAACATTAACCACCATTTAAGATACGTGAAACCTTCGAAGTGGAAAGATGCACACAAAGTTAATTTACACCCTTTGCGAGTTAGGTGCATAGGTACAATTTCATCCCACTTTTCTCCTGAGGAAACTGAGTCCCAAAATGATTAGGTAACCGGCTTGGAAAGCTTCGTGTCAGAGCCAGAATTAAAAGCTAGTCTTCTGCTTAGGGCTGTATATACTCTGCAGAGAACAGGGCACTATTCTGTTATTCTGAATTACTAGAGCCAGGAAATATTTCCATGAAACTATGGAAGCACTGATTTTTATTCAGAAATACAGGAAAGCAGTGTCTTATAATAATTAGGGGTCCAGGCTTCAACGCTAGATCCTGGTTCCACTACTTTGTAGCTGAATGACCTCTTGCACATTATTTAGGCTTTGGGTGCCTCTATCTATCTATAAAGTGAACATATTAATAGTACTTACATGATTAATAATATATGAAACGCAGCTTATTTAAAATCATGCATTCCCATCTTTTCATGTATTTAAAAACAATTTATTTCTATCTAACCTGGTTCAGATTTCAGCAGTTGTTTCGTGCCGATTTTACTTTAAACCTGAAGGACTTACTAATGATTCAGCTGCTTTCCAGTATTTTAATTAATGGAAAAAGAACTGATAACCCCACCGGCTCACGCCTGTTATCCCAGCACTTTGGGAGGCCTAGGTGGGCAGAAAACTTGAGGTCGGGAGTTCGAGACCAGCCTGACCAACATGGAGCAACCCTATCTCTACTAAAAGCGTAAAATTAGCCGGGTGTGGTGGCACATGCATGTAATCTCAGCTACTCCAGAGGCTGAGGCAGGAAAATCGCTTGAACCCGGGAGGCAGAGGTTGCAGTGAGGCGAGATCGCACCATTGCACTCCAGCATGGGCAACAAGAGTGAAACTCCGTCTCAAAAACAAACAAACTGATAACCCCGAGTAATTCACACTCCGTGGCAATATTTCCAGGATTGTCTCCCTTGAAGCCCAGCCTCAAGATGCAAAGAGATGTTTTAGGGAGGAAAAAAATCTAATCCACTTTCAGTTTATAGGCAAATGCTACTGTATTAATGGCTCTATCTCTGAGAATGTTTGTAGCAAAAAATCTTGTTGAACCCTTAATTTCCCAGATTTAGTTGGCTCTGATATTGGAGATGTGATATAATTCCACACTTAACATTTTTAACTAATTTTTGTGGACCTTACAGTAACTTTTAAGGAAGGAAAAAAATGGAAGTGAATCGTAAAGATTTCTTTCACTGAAAACTGAATTTAGTAAAAGTGGGATTATTTATAGTGTTTTTTTTTAATTTTGTGTGTAATCCATAAAATAAAAATTGAATTGGTTTTATTCTCCAGTAGCGCCAAACTTGAATTGAATTTGTTCATGTTAACACTACAGTAAACTCTAGTTTAAATGTATATGAATTTAGGAATTCAGTTAATATAGTGTCCAGCTTGTACTGTGATTATCATATGCTGTTTTGGGAATTACATAAGACAATGAAACAAAATTATCAGTCAAACAAATTGAACTGATATAAAGATGTGATTTATTCAGGAAACATGATCAAGAAGATTTCTTAGATACTTACCTGTTGAGGAAACAATACAGTTCAGTCACCAATAAGGATATTCACAAAGTACTTTTTTAATGATTTGATAATAACATATAGATACAATGGAAATAATTTGTAAACAGCATCCATATACATGAATTTACAGTAAAAAACATTACTGTAAAAGGCCTATTCTCATTTCAGTTTTAACAAAAGATATGAATTTACCAATGGCCAGAAGAAGTCAGGTACTCTAAAAGAAAATTTGTTTGCCTTTAAGTTCCTTTCCTGGTTAGGCTTGTCATACTTACAACCTAATATTTGTAAAGCTAAAATATTTTTAAAACATGTATTAATACTGTTTCTAAGGTTAGAATTTCCAAAGGTAGTTTATCTGATTTTTTTCCACATAAGGATATTAGGATTAAAAATTATGTCTTACAGAGTACCCAGACACTCTTTGGCATCTTAAGTTAACCAGAATTTATGGGGGAAAAAATGATGCTACTACAAAACATAAGCTAAATGGTTGGGATTGGGGGAAGGTAATATATAACAGCTACATTTCATATGAGAAACCTTATATTGTTACTGTTTTTTTAAAACAGGAAATTATGTGGTATGTGTCTTGGACTGTGTTCTTGGAAAATTATCTAATGGAATCTAAACCATTTTCAAATGTTGTGTTGTATACTTTGACCCAAACCTTTTTAGATTGATAAGAAAAATTTTCTATTAAATTCTGCTGTTAGTTCAGTTTTGCCTATAAAACACAGAGTAATATTAGGACCAACTCTAAATCCAGGTTATTGTCAGGTACAGGAACAAAATGTATACAGAGCTGTCTTGCCGTTTGTATTTGATTTGTTTCATATAAAATACATGAGATTATCCCTTTTATTATGTTTCGTTCTTTTCTCGTATCAGTGTTTCTCTTTCAGAATTTGAATTTTGGAGTTTCCAGTTCATTGGTTATAGAAGTGTAGTACTATTAGACTAAATTACATATAGATAGAATTGAAGCTGATGCTAGTAAAGAGACCAGAATATTTTCAGTACTCTTTCAGCTAAATGATTTGTTTGAAATAACACCTACTTATTTTTTAAATATTAACATAAATAAGATCATAAAACTTAATACTGCCTTGAATTATAGACAAACCATTTGACTTGTGATATTATGAAATACATTTGAATAGGAATTTATAATTTATACATAGCTCTTTTCTAGTTCTAGGCAAACTGTACAACAATATAAAAATGGAACATAATCCATACAAAATACAAATAGATTTTATCCTTTATAGGAACACATATATTTTACTTGAAGGGACTCTGAGTTGTGTTCAGCTCTTATCAGATAAGAGCCTTGGCTACATGTCTTACATCTTAGTTATCTTACTGCAGCGATGATATGGTAATAGTTATCATGAAGATGCCCTTATTTGGTAGGGATGGTTGCCTTGCTATTGTAGTACTTACTTGATGCATAGGTTACCCAGATATATGGGGTTGGCATTTGGCAAAATTGTAAAAATATAGCAAAGTTTTCCCTTTTTTTCTTTTTTTTTTTTTAATTCCAGATTTCCTCTACATGACAAAGAAAGACTGGAAAAGTGGTTAAAGAATATGAAGCGAGATTCATGGGTTCCCAGTAAATACCAGTTTCTATGTAGTGACCATTTTACTCCTGACTCTCTTGACATCAGATGGGGTATTCGATATTTAAAACAAACTGCAGTTCCAACAATATTTTCTTTGCCTGAAGACAATCAGGTATTGGAGTAGGGGAGGGGAGTAATGCTGAGCAGAGTGGCAAATTGTAGGGTGGCAAGTGATCAGTTGGGAGAGTAAGAGGGAACTATAACTTGGGAAAACATACGTGGAAAGAAGAGAGCAGTAATTTGTTCTTTTACTAAAGTGATAATTTTTTAAAATTTAAACTTATGAAGCACAGCTTAAGAGAAGCAAGAGATACATTACTAAGTTATTAATATAAGTTCATGAGTTTTATTTTTTATATTGTTTCATTTTGGTTTTTGAGACGGAGTCTTGCTCTGTCGTCTAGGCTGGAGTGCGGTGGTGTGATCTCAGCTTACTGCAGCCTCCACTTCTTGGGTTCAAATGATTCTCTTGCCTCAGCCTCCTGAGTAGCTGGGGTTACAGGCGGCCACCACCATGCCTGGCTAATTTTTATATTGTTAGTAGAGATGGTGCTTCACCATGTTGGCCAGACTGGTCTCGAACTCCTGACCTCCGGTGATCTGCCCACCTTGGCCTCCCAATATACTTGTCTTTTGAATGATCTTAAATGTTTCTGCTGTATGTTGAATGGGGTTAATGCTTTTTAAAGAACGCTTTAAGGTATATGTACTTAGAATATCTTTTTTATCTAAATAAATTGGCTTGGCCAGTATACTGCTCAAAGTTATAATTAAATAGCACTCACAGAATAAGCCTATAAAAATCATCTTTTTCAGAACATGAAAATATTATTTTCTAGGGAAAAGATCCTTCTAAAAAAAAATCCCAGAAGAAAAAATTGGAAGATGAGAAAGAAGTATGCCTAAAAGCCAAGTCAGAAGAATCATTTGTATTAAATGAGACAAAGAATATAGTTAACACAAATGTGCCCCCTGAACATGCAGAATTACTTCATTCATCTTCCTTGGTAAAGCCACCAGCTCCCAAAACAGGAAGTATACAAAATAACATGTTAACTCTTAATGTAGTTAAACAACATACTGGGAAACCGGAATCTACCTTGGAAACATCAGTTAACCAAGATACAGGTATAGGTGGTGTTCACACATGTTTTGAGGATCTAAACTCTACAACTATTACTCTAACAACTTCAAATTCAGAAGGTATTCATCAGTCTTTGGAAACACAAGAAGTTCTTGAAGTAACTACCAATCATCTTGCTAATCCAAACTTTATAAGTAATTCCATGGAAATTAAGTCAGCACAGGAAAATCCATTCTTATTCAGCACAATTAATCAAACAGTTGAAGATTTAAACACACATAAAGAACCTGTTATTGCCATTTTTGTACCTGCAGAAAATTCTAAACCTTCAGTTAATTCTTTTATATCGGCCCAAAAAGAAACCGTGGAAATGGAAGACATGAACATTGAAGACTCCTTATATAAGGATGTAGACTGTGGAACAGAAGTTTTACAAATTGAACATTCTTACTGCAGACAAGATATAAATAAGGAACATCTTTGGCAAAAAGTCTCTAAGCTACATTCAAAGATAACTCTTCTAGAGTTAAAAGAGCAACAAACTCTGGGTAGATTGAAGTCTTTGGAAGCTCTTATAAGGCAGCTAAAGCAGGAAAATTGGGTATCTGAAGAAAATGTCAAGATTATAGAAAACCATTTTACAACATATGAAGTCACTATGTTATAGAGTGAAGAGGTTTTACAGGTGTGATTTTTAAATAAGCTTTTTCCAGCCAAACAAACTACATCTAAAGTGAACTTTTTTCTGTGTAAAGTTCTCATCTTAATGAACCTATGAGAGTGCTGTAAAGTTATAAACTGTATCCTATTCTTGTAATGCTCATTTAAGAAAAACTAGAGAGTTGAGCTGGAGAGGAAAATGGTTTTATTACTTGATAATTTTTCAAATTAAAATTTAGCACATATAATGGGATTCAGTTATAACATGAGAAAACAAGCAAGTGGTCAAACAACACAGACCAGAAGTCAGGCTCAGGAATCAGACCTGGTTCTACCACTGGCATATGATTTGGGCAAGTTATCATGATTGAGCCTCAGTCCCTAATTCATAAAATAAGCACTTACTAGATTTCTAATTGTCTGGTTCTTTATAGTTCCTTCCCTTGTTATTAAGATACTTCTATTAGAACAGATTTTCTGTAAGATAATATATACTTAATACTAGATATTTATTTAATTCTATGGTATTTGACCTTTTGGTTGTATGTATATATTCCAATTATATATATGTAATAGAAAGGTAAACTTTTTTTTTTGAGACAGTCGCTCTGTCACCCAGGCTGGAGTACAGTGGCATGATCTCAGCTCACTGCAGCCTCCGCCTCCCAGGTTCAAGTGATTCTCCTTCCTCAGCCTCTCGAGTAGCTGGGATTACAGGTGTGTACCACCACATCTGGCTAATTTTTGTATTTTTAGTGGAAATGAGGTTTCACCATGTTGGCCAGGCTGGTCTCAAACTCCTGACCTCAGGTGATCCACTCACCTCAGCCTCCCAAAGTGCTCCCAAAGGCATGAATCACCATGCCAGGCCAAGATAGACCTTTTCTAATTTTATTCCAGTTGAACTCTCAACTAAGGAACCACCCGTTAGCCCAGTTCTTAGAAGAGGAACGTGAAAGAATATGTATTTTCATAACTTATGTGTGGCTAACCATCAAATACATAGTCATTTAAACTTCTAAACATCCTGTATTTATGCAGTTACATTTATAAACCAAAAATTTTAATGAAGTTAATTTTAAATAGTTATATTTTAGAAATCATAATTTGTATCTATTTCTTAGTAGGTGTAGCTTTTAAAATATGTCCTTGTGTCATAAATTCCAGAATAATAGAGTAATACTGTACATTCCCACTTATATGTATTTTATTAAAATTTATAAGCAAGAAATTATAGATAAGTGGTTATGACCTAGGAAGACAAAGAATCTCTCTTAAGAAAGAGAGGTGATAGTAATGTAAATAAAAATACTGTTTATATTCACATGATTTTAAGAAAACTGTAAAAGCAAAGACTTTGTAGTAATGACACAAATGTGAAAAATTGATGTTTTCTTAAAATTGGCCGTCAATATAATTATGTTTCTGCCTATGATGTTGAGCAAGTTCTATCAGTCTGATTCTTAGTTTTTTTGTCTGTTAAGTAGAAGATACTATTACTTACCTTAAAGGATGGCTTTCAGACTTGTGTAAGGTTTTTGGTTCTGGAAAATAGGAGGTGCTCAATAAAAGTTGACTCTGAATGGCAAATAATATTCTAATGTTTTGTAAATGCATGATGATTATTTTTGGCCATATTTCACTTAGTTTTGTTAGGCCAGTATTAATTGGTATTATATGAAAGTGTGTCAGCTAATTATAAAAAGATTAGAAGTGACTATTAGGTGATGATGGGGGGGGAAAGGTTAAAATTTTTGCGTAAATTATGTGCAGATAATTGATAGAGTTAATACAGTGTTATTAAGTATCCCCATGTTGCATTTTGCAAATAATTTAAAATACAGATGAAAATAATCTTGAGTCACAATAAAGTAATATATTAACTCAAGTTTTAACAGTGAACATTGTAGTAATTTTTGTTTAAAGTTACAGTTTCCTCAGGAAAAATTTAAACTAGCTGTATTTCTTTTAAAAATTATAAATAAAGGTTGAGTATCTCTTCTCTGAAAATCTAAAATGCTCCAAAACCTGAAACTTTTTGAGCACCAACATGACATGCAAAGGAATTGCTCACTAGAGCATTTCAGTCTTCAGATTTTTGAATTGGGGATGCTCAGCTGTTAAGTGTACTGCAACTATTTCAAAATCTGAAAAACGGTATCCTTTCTGTATTCACATCCATCCTTACTCTGATTCTCTGGACCAAAGTAATCATTCTCCTGTAAAACTTTCAACAACATTGCTCTTTTGCCTATTGTTCTCACTTGCCTAGACTACATTCCTGGTTGAGTTCAAGTATCTCTTTGCCTTTTCTCTTCCTACATCAGAACAGCTAGTCGAATAGAAAGGTCACATGATTGGACAGACTTCATTATAAAGTCATGATCACAAATCAGATGGGCCCAGCAGTGTCATTGTATTTTTCTACTAAGTTCATAACCCCACTCTTAAATTCTCTCTCTCACTCCTCCCTTCCTTTTCTGCCTCTCCTTCTTCCTTGCCCAAGATGAGGATCTCATCACATGCTTTATCTAGAAAATCAAAATCATTAGCTCATGTCTCTCTTATAAGGTCATTAATGGTTTTAAGACTAAAATCCAAAAATTATTTTTATTCCTATATTTATTCATTGAGGCCTAATGGATACAGAGTACAGTATTTATTTCTACCCACATCAGAATGAAAAAAAAAATTGTCATTTTACAATAATTTGTTTCTGTGAAAACCCACAGTCATCCATCTTAGGGAATGGACTGATGAAATTCAATACCTGTCACCTGAGGTAAAATAAGCTTCAAATTTGTTTCTAAAACACACATTCTAAAATTGGAAGCTCTCCTAGGATTTGGAGTAAGAAAGTCTTTAAAATTTGTGAACCTCCTAATAACTACAGTGAATATTCCTCAAAATCTGTATGGAAGAAAGTAAGGGTAAATGAGATGGATGAAAGGGAAGTAGTCTAGATGAAAGGAAGGGAGAAGGAGAGTGGATGAAAGGATTGATGGATGGATAAATGAGTATGTTTAGGTTCCACTTTTTAAACAGCCGTTCTTTCCTAAGTAGTAGTAGAGTTCGAGTCTGAAAAAATCGGGGGAGCATTCTACAATCCCCCCAACCTAAAGGAGCAGAACAGGAAATCCTGTGAACTGAGTCTGGATTCCTCACCACTATCTCAGTAAGACACCCTTATTACTAAAAAACCCTCATCTAGTATAGCATGTATATTTGAGATAAGTCTCAAGAAAGTTTATTTTGCCAAGGTTAAGGACGTACCCTTGATGCAGCCGCAGGAGGCCCTGATGGCATGTGCCCAGGGTGGTTGGGGTACAGTTTGCTTTTATACATTTTAGGGAGACATGAGACATCAATATGTGTAAGACGTACATTGATTTAGTGTGGAAAAGCAGAACCACTCAAAGCGGGGCTTCTAGGTCAAAAGTCGGTAAGAAAAAAAAGCTTGCATTCTTTTGAGTCCTTGATTAGTTTTCTGCTGAATACACAATTTAGTCTGGCTCAGTGAATCTGCATTTTTACATGAACAGTAGAGCAGGGAAAGCAATCAGATATGAGGAAATGCCTCAGGTGAACCTCAGAGGGATGACTGAGTTCTGTCCTCTTCTGCAAGGAATTTCCTTGTTAGCAAATTGGGAGGGAGGCATGTAGCTTTGTATCATTGTGGCTGTCTTAGGAACAAAATAAGGGAGGCAGGTTTGCCTCAGCAAGGCACACTGGCTCAGCGCCTATAATGCCAGCACTTGTGGAAGGCCAAGGCAAGAGGATCACTTGAGGCCAGAAGTTTGATACCAGCCTGGGCAACATAGCAAGACCCCATCTATTAAAAAAAAAATTTAAGGGAGCAGCATCAAGGGCCTCAACTGAAGACATTGTAATTTAGTAGACCTAGGAAGAAAACTTGCTGCATTTTAATAAGTGTCAGATAATAGTACTGTATGTGGTTCTTGGACCACATTTTAAGAAACAGCCTTAGAAAATTGTGGCTCCATTCCTGATTGGAATGCCTCTTCATTTATTTCTACTAGTTCTATTTTTTATGCCACTGCCAGTTTTTTATTTTTCTCCAATTCTTCTGCAACACACAAAGATGTGTGCAAGCTAGAATATGATAAAGTATTATTTTATGTATAAAGAGTTTATATAATTTGCCATTTAAGATAGCAAATGCAACATATACATTTTTAGCTGTTCTCTTAACTGATAACAACTATAAAGTTATTTTTTGGTGGTGGGGGTGGTTGAAATCTTACTCTGACACCCGAGCTGGAGTGCAGTGGCGCGATCTCGGCTTACTGCAACCTCTGCCTCCTGGGTTCAAGCGATTCTTCTGCGTCAGCCTCCCAAGTAGCTGGTATTACAGGTGTGCACCACAACGCCCAGCTAATTTTTGTATTTTTAGTAGAGATGGGGTTTCACCATGTTGGCCAGGCTGGTCTTGAACTCCTGACCTCAGGTAATCCACCCCCCCCTTGGCCTGCCAAAGTGCTGGGATTACAGGCGTGAGCCACCATGCCTGGCCTAAAAGATATTTTTAAAAGGTAAAACCCACTAGTGCAAAGTGAAAGAGGAAGCAAACACAACATTTTGGAAGCTGGAAAGTAGATATATGAGTAGTAGCTGTCTTTGTGGTCCTTAGATTCCTAAGTCAACAAGGAAAGCCAACAAGAAAGCTCAATTATTATTACAGAACCTAAGAGGCTTAGTAATTGAAATCAACAGATACCTCTGGAACTGGGGAGTTGGGAGTGCTTAAGGCATGTTATAAAAAGAGGATTGGTTAAGATTTATTAAGAAGCAGTAGTCATCCCACACAGTTTGGTAGCTGTTTTGCTCCTTACCTGGCAAAAGATTGGAAGTTTATTCTCTAAAGTGATTAAAACAGAGGGTCTCTAGCTGGGCAGGGGCATTATACTGAAAACAAAGATTAAGTGAATGTGTATATACCAAATGGTGAGCTCCACCGCCTACCCCACCCAGCCTCTATAACATACTCAGTTCCCAGAACTCTAACAACCAAGTTTATACCCTTGAGGCATAAGACTAAAGGTGTCTTCTATGGGGAATTTGACAAGCTCAAAGAGAAAAGAACAAAAATATTTTACATCAGGGAGGGGACTCCAACTGGATCCAGATAAGTCACTCAGCAACAGTGATTCTCAACACTCACTCTGCATTAAAATCACCTGGGAAGTTTTAGAAATTTTTCCTGGCTTGGGCTCCACTCTCAGAGAATCTGATTCAGTTGATCTGATTTAAAGCCTTAGCTTTATATTTTTTGAAGTTTACCAGGTTATTCTAATGAACAGCAAAAGTTGAGAATCATTGCTCTACAGTGAAACTTAGGGCAAGACTCATCCATGGCTATAGAGTTTTTCTTCGGCTTCTAAATGTTCTGTCCACTGATCAACAGACAGTTGAAGAGAGCAGTTAATGATAAAGATGTGCTGTCTTAGTCCATTTTCTACTGCTCTAACAGAATACCTGACACTGGGTAATTTATAAAGAAAATATTTCTCTGAAGGCTGAGAAGTCCAAAATTAAGGCACCAGCATTTGATAAGGGCCTTCTTGCCGCATCCTTATATGGAAGAAGAGCGAGAGAGGATGAACATTGTGTCCTCATATGGCAGACGAGTGAAAGAGAGGCAACACATTCTTGCAAGCCCCTTATATAGTGACATTAACTCATTCATGATGGCAGAGCTCTCATGACCTAAACACCTTCCAAAAGGCGCCACCTCCCAACACTGTTGCACTGGCGATGAAGTTTCCAATACAAGAATTTTGGGAGGCACATCCAGACCATAGCATGGCCCAAATCAATAAGTAAAAAGCAGCAACTTAGAGGAAACAGATTTTATAGTCATAAGAAAACTTAGGTAAAAGAACCCAACTATAGTTAATGTTCTTTCTGAGCAAAGGCTATATTGCATTTCTGAAAACAAAAACATACCTTTTAGAAAAGGAATATTATAAAAACATAAAAATCTTGAATAATTTAAAATATAAATTAAAAATTAATAGGTGAGTTAGAAGATTTAAGTTGAAAGAGTCTCCCAAAAAGGAGAACAAAAAAGCCAAGAGATAGGAAGAGACACAAATAAGAATTGTGTCCCCTAAAAGTCATGTATTGAAGCCTAAAGCCCAGTACCTCAGTACTCGACTGTATTTGGACACAGGGCCTTTAAAGAGATTAGGTTCAAATGAGGCCATTAGAGTGAACCCTACTGCTAGCCAACTTTTGTCCATATTAGAAGAGAAAATTTGGACATACAAAGACACCAGGGATGCAAGAGCATCATAGGAAGACCATGTGAAGACACAGTGAGAAAGTAGCCATCTGTAATATAGGGAGAGAGGCCTTTGGAGAAACCTACTGATACCTTGATCTCATAACTGAAAATAAATTACTGTTGTTTAAGCCACACAGGCTGTCATATTTTATTACATTAGTCCTAGAAATCCAATACATCCAGGAGACTTCAATATCCACATAATAGGCATTTTAAAAAATTGTAGCAAAAAAAATTGAACAAATAAAATAGTAAAAGAAATAATGCAAGAATTTTTCTCTAGACCTGAACATG